ACACGTCTCTTTGAACACCAAATGTTCAAAGAATATTCTTGAAGTTGCAACCCATAAGTTGCATTTCCTTTCCTCTTTCCTACAAGTCATGATTATAGGAGAGTATTTAAATCCGTATTCATGCTCCCAAATCCAAATTGGGAGGATGAATCCCCTCTTTGGACACCAAGCGTTCAAAGAAACTACCCCAATTTGCAACCTCTAAGTTGCACTTTGGGCTACTTCTTTTCCTACAATTCTAAATTGTGGTAAATCTCTCATTTCCCCTTCATTTGCCTAGCCTCAAATTAGGCAAATGAATTTGTTCCTTTAAACATCAAAAGTTTAAGGAACATTTATGAATTTGCAACCCACAAGTTGCATGTTCCTTCTCTTATTTCTACAATTCAAAAGTTGTAGGAATTCTTCTTATTCCATTGACTCAAATTGGGTGAGTGGACATCCCCTTCTTTGAACGCCAAATGTTCAAAGAAAGTCTTCCACTTTGCAACCTTCAAGTTGCATTTCCTTTCCTCTTTCCTACAAGTCAAAGATTATAGGAAAGCATCCAAATCCATCTTCTTACCCTCATTCTTCTAACTTAAATTAGAAGAGTGTATTCCCTTCTTTGAATAACTAAATGTTCAAAGGACTTTCAAGAGTTTGCAATTTCCAATTTGCATCTCATTCTTCTCTATCCCTCCAACCTAAATTGAAGGAATGAATCCCTCTTCTTTGGACACTGAATGTTCAAAGAATCCTCTTGGGGTTGTAACTTCCAAGTCACATCCCCTCTACTTTTCTCCTCCAACTCAAAATTGGAGGGATGAAACCCTTTTTCTTTGGACACCACATGTCCAAAGAAATTCTTCCAATTTGCAGCCCCTAGGTTGCAAATTGGATCACTTCCCTTCCTACAAATCTAAATTGTAGGCAACCACCAAGATTCCCTTCATTTATCTTAACCCAAGTTAAAAAAATGAAACTCCACCTCCTTGAATATAAAAATTCAAGGAGGCGCCTTCTTGATTTGTAGTCTCAAAAATACAAATCCTCTTTCACTTCTATAGACTCCAAAAGTCTTAGAAAATTCCTCACCTTAGCTCAAAGCCATAGGTTCTTTCAATTTCTTTTCCCTTCTGCTCTCCTAAACCCAAGTTAGGAGAGTATACTCCTCTTTTTGGACACCAAATGTCCAAAGGAGTACTCGGAAGGTTGCAACCCATGAGTTGCACCTTACTCTCTTCTTTACAAACCCAAAACTGTAGAGAAATTCAATCTTCCTACAACTCAAAAGTTGTATGGAACTTCCTTGTATTCAACCCATGTTGGGTTGTTTAATCTTATTCCATTTATCTTACTTATTGAAACAAAAACAACAAGTAACTTCACCCTAAGCTTAGGATTCATGTCCTATTTCTCTTCGCCCTTCCAAACTCAAGTTGGAAGGGTGCAACCCTCTTTTGGACATCAAAGTGTCTAAAGACCTTTGTGAATTTTCAACCCAAAAGTTGCATTTTCACCCAATCCTCCAACTCCCAAGTTGTAGGAGACTTCTCCACTCTTTAGCTCCAAAAGCTAGAGAGAGCTCTCCAACATTTAGCTCAGAAGCTAAATGTTAGATTCTTACCCTTTCTTCTTAGCTCCAAAAGCTAAGGAGAATTTCCCTCAACAAGTGGCCCAAAAGTCACATGTTGGGCACTTCTTCCTTAGACCTAAACTTTAGGAGGACCCTTTAGTGTGACATACCACACAAGCCTCACTAACTTAGGTGCACAACCCCTTAGGCATACTAGGATTAGGATTTTTCTTTGTGTACGCATGTGATTGATGTTGTGCAGTGATTGACTTTTGGATTGTCTGCATTATGGGCACTTGCCCTTAAGTGATTAGTATAGAAATATATACATGTTTTTCTGTGCAGGTGGCCATGCCTAAGAGGGGGTAAATTAAATCATGATTATCATAATGCTGTTTGCTTGCAAGCGCTGCTTAAACCCCCCCAAGAGACATGGCCAATAGGGTAGAAGCAGGGGCCTAGCGCTTAGCACTCTAAGTGCTAGGCCAATTTTGGAATGCTCATATTTTTGCTATATAAATTGCCCCCTAACTCTGTTTTGCATATTTGAGTCTTTTTCTATTTTTACACCACGTATTTGATTAAATTTAGGGTGTAAAACTTGTGGGGTTTGGATTAGAAAGCAAGGAGGGTCAATGGAGAAAGTACCTTTTTGGAGATAAAGCTTGAAGATCCCCACAAGTAGAGTCTGTAATTAATTTAACTGGGTTGTATAATGGCAGGTAACTCAGCTGCCAAATCTGGTTGTAATAAATTGGACTTTATTTACATTTCCTGCACTTTGTTTATAAATAAAAGCATGCATTGTTTGTTTACTGGGTGTGCAATAGAACAGCATATTTTCTTAGGTTTCTTCTCTTGTTTGCTTGGGTGTGGCTTGGACTCTACTACGTTAGGCTCTTAGGATAAAAACTAAGTTTTCTACCCCTTAAAATGTAAGCAACCTAAAATGAAATTAGGCTTCATGGTTTTCTAACAAAAGAAAATTTGCATGGCTCTCTTTTAAAAAGCCAAGTTTTTTTAAAAAACTTAAAATAATCATGCATGGTCAAAAATGTGTCACATGTAGAATGCCTCCACATCAGGATTAGATAACAAAATATTTCTTTTTGTGAGTCAGCATTTGCATACCATACATAATTAGGCATCTTGGCCTCAAAATTGAGACCGGATGACATGATTTTAAAAGCGATTAGGATGGTTAGCTGATAGTCCCTTCCAGGCGGGACAATAAATCCAGAGGTCGGGCAGGCTATACCTCTTAGTTTGTAAGTCCCTTTGCACTCGTTAGATTTAGGTTCGAAGCACTACCTATCCGTAGTCCTCAACTTAGTCTTAGAGTCCGAGGCTTGGGTTGATTCCAAATCACCCTATAAGCCCTCATCTTTCGGGTATTTCCTCCAACAAGTGTTATTGGGATATAAGCCTCAATCTTCTAATAAAAAAACATCAACTTAAACCAAAATTAGATTGTTGAAATGTAAAGCCCAACATAGGATAATCTGAGCACCTCTGAGTTTCCCTCAGAATCAAATGCTCCTACTTCACCACCTTTAGCCCTCATTCTAAGAAATCTAATTCTAAGTTGATCAATTACTCAAAATTCCTAAAGGACCAAATCCTTTAAGCAAGATTGTCATGGATTTTAAAACAAACAAAAAATCAAACTTTAGCTAATGTCTAAAATGACTTCTAAAAGAAAGCAAAACTACTAGTTTAATCAAAAGTTTTCCCAAGCCAAAACTTGGGATGTAATTAACCATAGGGGCTTGCCCCTATGGAACGTCCGTACCCCATAAATAAATAAACCCCGCTCGACCAAACATCGAGTGGGGGAATCTCTGTTCCAATTGTAAATTTTATAGTTGAGTCCATAAGGAAATGATATTTTTGCCCTTCGGGGTAATATATCATGTTCTTATGCCGTACTCGATTATAAAATATGCAATCCGTTTGAGGATACAAAAATTCTCCAACACTCTCCCAAGAGCAACACCAAGAACTCACCAAGGCCAATGGAGTAAGCAAGGTGCAAGTTTGCTTGGAGGCTAGACCAATTGTGTGAATACCTCTCACACTCCTCCCTCACGCACAACCACACCTTCTCCCTTTTTAAGCATAATAGCTATATGAAGAATTCTCCCGCAGAGTTCTTTCAACAACCAAAAAGTCTTACTAAAGACAAGTTTGAGTTGCTTAAGTACATGGCTTCAAAAAAACATAAGTTTTCAATTAAGCCATCACTATTTGGCCGAGTGTGACTTGTTCGGCCCGAAGCCCGTGTGAGGAAGGGAAGTGGTCGATTGTTGGAGGCGAGATCAAGCTCAATAGTTAAGAGCGAGGTCAGAGCGGGTGAAGGTTCAATCGCAAGAGTCTTCGAACAGGGTGGGTAGTTTGCGAGTTCAAGGTCTTTGTCTGCTGTGGAGTCATAGTTGTCAAGCGGGTTGAGGATCGACACCATAGATGCGAGGAGCTTGCGACTGAGCATCAGATTTGGCTGCTAGAATGGAGAGAGCAGAGAGAGACGAGGGAAAGAGCAGAGAGAGCTGGATGGAGAGAGAGCTCTCGTGTGCGGGAAGAAAAACGTCGAAGTCTCACTTCGCTCTCCCTTTAATGCAGCAACAACGATCAAGGCGAGCGCGAGGAGATGTTTTCACAGAGCAGGGATAAGCTGAGGCAGTCGAATATGCAGAGATTTGACCAGAATATCGGGTAGGGTAGCAGGGATATGATTTGAGTGGGACATTGACAGATTTTTTTTTGTTGATTTAAGTGGAGGTCAAAACTCTTCCTTTAAATTTATCATCCCGATTTGGAAAAATAAGAAAGTCCCCTCTCTTTTCATAGGCAAAAGCTGAAATCCTGTCTATTACCTGTCATGAATTCTTTCCTGGCAGGATTACTAAGCCATCCCTCATGCTTTCATCTCTTCACTACACCTTCTTTCCCTGCAACCCTTGTGCAGTCTTCTGTAAATTATGGACTAATTCCATGATAACACAAACAATTCCAAACACAATTCAAGAGGAGAAAAATGAGAAAGAACAACACATCAACGACCCATTATCAGTCTGGCATCAATAACTATTCTTTTTTTCTCCAACAAGCCTACTTTTGCTGTTTTCCTACTAATCAAACTTCCCTTTCTGTTAAAATTCATATTAATTACCAATTATTCAATGCCTATCTGACTATTAAAAATGGCCATAAAAGGATATGTGCATCTCTGAAATGAGATTAACTCTTGATCATCAAAAAGATCAGCTTTTTAACATTGCAGTCGAGACTATTAATAAGAACAAAGACTGGTTGCCAATAAAATGAAAAATGCTGCTTGTGAAACTAGCCCTAGAAAATTTGACAGAATATTGGCATCCATTGCCTGTCTTTCTTGCATATATACAAGTAAAATTCAGAGAAAGCAATAATAAGTAAACATTACCCATTCAGCCCTGGTATGGTAATCTGTGTGTCTTTTAGAAAACTGGTCAGATCAAATATCCCACATGGTTGAGAAGTAGAGGTCTCAGCAATGGAAACAATATTATTATTGTATTCCGACACTTCTACCCTTGGATTAACAGATAGGGGTGTAGCTTCATGTGTGGTATCAACAACAGCATCACATGGAAATATGGACGAAAATAACTTTTGAACTGACACAAATTCAGACATGGACGGTGTCTGATTTGTTTGCAAAAGCAACTGCAACAAAAAAAAAAGTGAGTTGCGAGCACTCAAGTACTGTTTTGAAGAAAAGCTTTAACAAAACAACCTGATGAGGATCAACTTCAAGGTCTACAAAATGCAGTTGTTGTTCCAAGCTCAGATTTGACAACTCAGCAATTCCTTCAACATGAACCATGTAAATCATATCTTCTATTACCATTATTCTCAACGGAAGTAGCAAGGCAGACTCCTGTAACAGAAAGACTGTTAGTTTGGAACCTTCCATAATCTGCTGTGAAAACAATCTTTCATGTAAAACAATGTACTATATAGAATTAAATTGGTTATCGAAGGAAAGATTTGCAAAGAGTAGATGAACTCTTAGTTTCATAATTTTCTCATGACAAAGATAAATTAGAATCTTACTAAAGAAAAAAATTAGATATTTAAAGACAAATGATTAAAAAGAACAGTCCGCGGCCAGTAGGGGCATGTAGAATTTTAAAATTCTTACAGACAAAGTTACTACTATTTCTATTTTAAAACATGACTAAGAATATGAAACGCAGAGGGTTGACTAATAATCAATATAATAAGAATGTACAAAAAGTAACCCAAAGCACCTTGAATCGCAATTTTGTAATTATTTACAAGATTTTGCCTGGAAAACCAAGTTATCCTATTTCAAAAATAGGATTGACTTGTTACAAAAGATAACTTGTTTTGGAGTCCGCAGAATTATTCAGCCTGAAAGTGAAGAAAATTCATACTCAGCCTAACTTTGTAAAGATTTTTGATATTTTGAAATTTAAGATTCAACATAAACTGACTGAGCCTGACTTTGCATCCGTTTTTTTATATTTTGAATACTAGGGGTCAATATAAAGTGAAGTAGAGTTGGCTCTAAAATAGATGCATAAAGATTACTAGCATTTATTATAATATGTCAAGATCTTATTTAACAAGGATCTTTTTCATTTATTACCATATATTTCTTCATTTTTATCATATTTTGTACTTTTTCTTGTTCTCTCATTTTTGTATAGATATATATATATATTTGTATTACACAACAATTCAATAGAAATCAATTTTCTCCTGCTTCATTTTTCTAAATTGTCATCAAAGCCATGGTACTTCTAGTCATCTCTTGCTTACAAATTTATGTTGCAAGGTCGCCATGATCGACTTTTAGCAAAGTCCACTAATCTCTTCTCTCCTTCGTGCCTTGTGTTAAGGCTCATGGCATCATGTGCTTACTCACTACAACTCCTTACATCCGTGACATTAAATTCCACCCATAACCTAGCCCAATTTGAGGAGTCCAGCCAGCCACTTACGGCTAGCCTATTGCTCACAACTTGTCAATAACCGGCAACTCTAACATACAAAGTGCGCATCGCCCCAACAAAGCCATCAATGTCTTCCACCACATGCAAGCGCATAACCTCAAGCCCAAAAACACATCATTCTCCATCGTCTCTAGGAATGAATTCAATGGACGACAGACATAAACTCTATAAAATACTATGGTTGACGCAACATTTCCGCACTCCACCATCCTCTGTGCTGCCAAGGTCAATAGAGCTATCAACAAGCCCCTCGCCCTCAAAATCCCATGGCATGGAAAAGCCTCTCTGATGCGGACATCGGTACGAAGATTTGACACATCTATCACAGGATGCGTCGTAAATCGACGGCTATAATTTAAATCTTCAATTATGAGTTATTTTTTTGAATTTTAGTTCTTATTTGATGTATTTCCTGTTTTACCCCTAGGTTGGTTTATGTGAGTGTTGTGGCCCAATGGGAAATTTTGTATTTTGAGTTTTCTTATGTTGTGGCCTATATATATGGCCTTAAACTATTGTAATAATGATGGATTATTGATATAAAAAATTTGTGTTCCACACTTGTGTTCTTTTGAGAGAACGTTAGTGAGATTCCTATGGGAAGGAATCAGAGTTTTCACCAACCGCAGGATGGGTCTGGGCTCGTGACTTGAAGTCCCTTGGAGAAGGGCAAAGCATCACCCATCAGTCTTCGAAAGAGTCCAAGGCTCGTGGTTCTTATCTTCTATCTTTGTTTTTGTTTCTTCTTATTGCTCCCTGTAGTCATATCTTAGTCTTTATCTTCATCCTCTTCACCGTTCCCCTCCTTCCGCCATCCCCACCACCAACCACACCCGTCCAAAACCACCAGCCATGGCTCCCTAGCCGCCGGCCTCACCTTTCCCTCTTCCTTCTTGAGTTTCCTAATTTGGGGTGAATGATATTTGGACTTAATTTGAAATTCAAATTTTATTTCCTAATTTAGTTCGCCTAAATTAGGAAAGCATTTAATTTAAATCAATTTGAATTTCGGTGAGCAAATCTTGGGTAGCTTTCAAATTCAAATTCATAAAATTTGACAATTGAAAAGTTTTCCTAATTTGCCGTCTATTTTTGGAAAGTTTCCATTTTAAATCCTATTTGAATTTCAAATTCAAAGATGATTTAATTATTTCTTTCCTAAATTCTAAACCCAAATCAAGCAACCCCAATTAAATGCATTAAACCCCTCTTTCCCTATGGATACCACCGGCCCCCATCTCTAATTGGCTTAAATCATTAATTGTTTCCTAATCCCCATCCTTGCTTTAAGGAAACAATTTCAATTCCACCAAATTTCAGCCTAGCCAAAATTTTCTTTCTTCCCTAGGCTCTAATTTATTTCCTAAAACTACATATTGGATTTAGGAATCAAGAGCCTCAATCCCTCTCAATCCCGCCAGCCTCCGAATCCCTGTCACCCACCTCTCCCCTCCCTCTCATATTCCCTATCCTATCCTCCCTGCTGCTGGCCGAACTCCCCCATGCTCTTTTTCTTGGGTTGTCTCGCCCTCTCTCCCACTCAACACCTTGCTGGAATCAAGGCTTGAATGCTCCTTTCAATTCCCCTTGCTCCTAAGCCCAGAATCCTGAGATTTCTCTCAGATTTTGGCTCCAAAATCTGAATTTATTCTCAGAATTTTGAAAAGGGGATTTAGGAGTTATTTTTTCTCCACTTGAAAGAGAATCTTCTTTCTCTTTGCTACTATTCGAGAAGTGCCTCAAGAGCCTAGGAGATTCTACCTTCAAGCATCCATGAATGGCAGGTCCGAAAGATTCAATCCTCCTACCCGTTCTACATCACTCTCCTTAGCACCTTTGACTAGAACCCATTGCTGATTCAAAACATCACATCATCATTCTCCATCTCTATCATACGTGGGCCACCCGCTACTATCATGCCAAGGCTACTCTTACAGAGATGGATGAGTTGTTTCAAAATTGAGATGCCATGAAGGAGCTCATATGGAGCATAAGAATTTCAATTTTGTTATTCTGGCATAAATACACATAGTCGTCTAGTATGTTTTTGAATAGTGAAGTACTGACTAATGAACACTTAATCTTGCATACAAGCAAAAAGAAAATATTTTTTTGGATTAATTAGTATTAGTTACATTCAGATAAAACCACCTGGACAAATTTTGATATAAAGCTCAACATTGATTCATTTATTGGGGTTCAACATACTTCGAAAGTGACAAATCATACAAAAATATAGTCCATCCAAATGTTTCTCTTCTTTACCTTCTAAATATTTATATTATCCATGTTGTTATGCAAATAAGGGTGTTGCAAGAGTTTCATGGCAGCACAGTTGGAGGACAATCAAAAGTTCAGAAAACCTACAATCGGTTGTCCACAGAGTTATATTAGGTGGGGATGCACCGGGATATAGAGAATTGGGTGGCGAGATGTGATCTGTGTCAGCGGGCAAGTACTTGGTCATGACACCAGTAAGATTATTACAGCCTCTAGCTCTACTGGAGCGGGTGCGCTAGGAGGTGACGATGGACTTCATCGAGGGCTCTATGATACTGGTAGTAGTGGATCGTCTGAGCAAGTATGCACACTTCATCACTCTGAAGCACCATTACACCACAGTCTCTGTGGCTACTGCTTTCATACGGGAGGTGGTGCGCTTACATGAATTTCCATAATCCATTGTATCAGATAGAGATAAGATGTTCATCAGTCGTTTCTTAAAGGAGTTGTTCCATTTACAGGGGATAGTTCTAAAGAGGAGCATGACATACCATCCCTAGTCAGATGGTCAGACGGAGGTGGTCAACAGAAATGTGAAAACCTATTTACAATGCTTTGTGTCAGATACACCGAAGAGTTGGGCAAAGTGAATTGCTTGAGCCGAGTATTGGTACAACACTTTGTACCATTCAGCAGCACAAACCACCACTTTTAGGATTCTCTATGGAAGAGATCCACCTCATTTGATACATTATGGGCATAGTACTTCACCAATATCTAATAGAGATCAATACTTATAGGAGAGGGACAAGATATTTGCAAAGCTCAAGGGGCATTTGTTGAGGGTCCGACAGATTATGAAGAGGAAAGCTGATAAGCACAAGAAAGAAGTACACTTTGAGATGTGAGATATAGTTTACTTGAAGTTGAGACCCAACCGGCAGAAGACACTAGCCAAGAGGAGAAATGATAAATTGTCCCCATGACACTTTAGGCCTTATGTGATTTTGGAGCGCATTGGAGCAGTAGTGTATCGAATGGGATTACCACCTTTGTTAGCATTGCATGCAATATTTCATATCTCATAGCTAAGGTGTGCGATAAGAGATAATACCATGCCTTCACTCTCTCAAACTTTGACAGAAGACATGGATTGGAAACCCTAGAAGTAGAAGGTGTGCGTCAAGGGGAAATAGGAGTACATGAGGTACCAATTAAGTGGAAGGATTTGTTAGAGTATGAAGCCACATGGGAGCCATATAGGTGATCAGGAGGCAGTTTCCATCTTTCCACCTTAAGGACAAGATGCGCCTTTGAGGGGAGTATTGATTTGCCTAGCCCAACCATCCTAGTTCAGGCAAAACCAACCATGTGCCCTCGGAAAAACTAGGGGCAGCAAGAGGGGGCAGTTCCACTGTAATATCCAAAAATTTCCGGTAATTAAAATTTCCAACAATTTTTTTTTATATTTAATTTTTAAATTAGAATTAAAATTACTATTAACATTAATGAATTTAATTTATAATTATTGTTTAATGTCTATTCCTATGTTAGTAATAATAACTAATATTTTCACTTAAAATTCCCTAATTCCTGAAGAGTTGCATGCAAAGGAATAAAGCATAGATGTGTTGCATAAAAATATTTGGTTGAATTATTTTTCAATAAATAAGTT